GGTGCCAACGCAACAACAATGACAGTGAAGGGGATAGGTGGATTAGGATACAGAACATGGGGAAAAGTGAGTGAGACAGTTAAACATGGAAAATACAAGATAACAGAATTTTTTTTTGTGTTTCACCGTACACCTTTTGCAATTTTTTTTTGTTGTTTGATGTTTCGTTTTTCTTAATGGGCACGGGATTTCGATAGACAGATCGTACAGCATTCGCGCCACTGACTTCTATTCTGCGCCATATCTCTCAGCGTCTCTAACCATAGACAATCCTCATCCCTTGGGCCCCAACCTGGGAGGCGGGCTGCACCAACCGAAGCCAAAGCTGAAGCCAGCTTCTTCATGCCTCTAGCCCATGTCATGGTCTGACCGCCGCGCCGCTTCTTCCAGCCTTGCCCGGCACGTGCAAAGAGAGCACGGAAAGGAAGTCGATGGGCAGGCATACGCAATACGTGACCCAGCCATCGGAGGCGGTGTAGAGCGATTACTTCTGTTAGAGGGCGACTATCTGCACCAAGCACACGACGACGGACCTCGTCATTGCTCACCCGGTGTTCCCACCAGACACGAGCAATGCTTCGGAGACATCGGTGGTCAAACACAGAAAGTCGATTAGCATCCTCCGCTCGGAGAGGCCAGGTCTCGCAACCGTAAAGCAGAACGCTACGAACTGCGGCGATATACACCCTTCCCTTAAGGGACAATCGGATGTCATGGCGGCGCCACAGGTGTCGCAGGTTGGCGAAAGCTGCTCTAGCTTTCGCTATTCGTGATGTGATCTCGTCCCCAACACCACCACCAGCTGCGATCAAGCTCCCGAGGTACTTAAAGCTCTCAACTACTTCCAGCTGATCACCACAGAGGGTGAGTGCAGGCACAGGCTCCTGCCAGTTTTGAACAAGAACTTTGCATTTGGAAGGTGCAAAGCACATACCATATCTGGATACCTCGATCGCCAAGCGGTTCAGAGCCTCTTGGACTGCCTGTGAGTTGTCACCCAGCAAGGCGATGTCATCGGCATATTCCAAGTCAAGAACTCTGTTCCCTGGGAGGAGTTCAACCCCACCGTTTGCTAGACCGGACAAAGCGTTCTGCAGAACATCCTCTATGACAAAGTTGAAAAGGAATGGGGATATAGGGCAGCCTTGTCGAACTCCACTGGAGACGGCGAAGGGTGGCGAAAGCTGGCCATAGGCCCTAACCCGACCTGAGGTATGACGATACAACTCTTTGAGGATCGACACATACTTCTCAGGTACTCCATTCCTCAGCAAACAGTTCCATAGTGCGGTCCTATCGACAGAGTCGAAAGCCGCTCGGATGTCCAAGAATACAATGATCGTCGGTCTCTGATAAGCATGACGGTGCTCTAGCAGCTGTCGGAGGGTGAAGATTTGATCGATGCATCCACGACCGGCACGAAACCCAGCCTGCTCCTCACGGGTCTGCTCTTCGCGCGTAGTGTACAATCGGCGGAGAATGACGGACGCCAACAGCTTTGACGCTATCGGGATAAAGCTTATACCCCTATGATTGGCGCAGTCATTGCGCGAGCCCTTTTTGAAGATGGGGACGACAATTGATTCCCCCCACGAAGAGGGGACCTGCTCAGTGTACCACACTTTAGCGAACAGAACTTGTAGTTCTTTCACAAGCTTTATTCCGCCATCTTTAAATAGAGCAGGGGGAAGGCCATCGGAGCCCGGCGCTTTGTGACGTCCCAAGGCTTGGATTTCCTTACAGATTTCCACAGTACTGTGGTTTTGTGTTCCACACCGATGACATTGATGCAACATCTACTTAATGCTGTTGTTGAGAAAGAACCTTTATGGAAGATCATCCATTGCAGCTCCTCTTTCGTTTTGTTATGATCGGGAACCGAGGAAGTCAAATTTCCGCTTTCAGAATAATGCGGGTACGGACCAATTTCTTCACAGAACTCAGCGTGTTTTGCTCTAGCCTCTCGCAGCAAGCCCATCACTCAAGGGGTTACAGTGATATGAACCGGTTCTGTGTATCGCTTTATCAACTTGTGAGCTATAGATCTTCGTTTGCCTAGTGCTTTCAATATTCAAACGGCGGACCTCGACTTTTGACATACTGGTATTCCGACAAACAAATGACTGCTCTTTCGCGTTCATTCCGAACCGAAATGTCTTTGCTCAGAATCTCGTGACGCTTGTCTAGCGAAAGCCCTCCATGTCCTCGGCCACTGCTGCTATTCTTCCGTCGGCGCTTATTCAGCACACCTAAAATTGTATTGTTCATGAACAAGGGACAAATGTTTTGGGCGGTGGGTGGGTGCGTGTTGAATGAGGTTGCAGTTCCCCTATTCGCGATTAGGGGTCACACCAGGACGTAGGCAACCCTGCCTCTTGTCACAGCCCAATGTCCTCATTTTCCCAACCTCGTACCTCAAACTGGAAATGCATATTTTACATCTTGATGGATGGGGTATGTTTAACCTTCTGTTTTCTTATCTATTCCAGGAATGAACTGTGGTGCTTGATTTGCTGAATTGGCTTGATGGATACAAACCTTCAGAAGCTAATAGAATCTCTCTAACTGTTCCACCGAAATGTTGTCATTGTCGGCTATATACCGTGCAGCTGTTTCTTAGTGGGACTCGTCAACGTTGCAGAAACTGTTGTTTGATTATGCCCAGACTTTGAAAACCAACAATGTGACGAGAATCAGACCGGCTAGATTAAGGTATTTTCTCGCTTCGCATGCCAATTTTCATTAGCCTATGGCCAAGGTGACACCTGTTCATCAGGCTTATCAAGAGTGAAAACTTGGGACTAATATCGTTCCTTAATCATGGCCGATTTATGAAAAGCATTACGCGACTTGTTCCATCGACCCCAGATAACAGAAATTTTACCTCTTCATGTGTTGCGCTTGTCAACAAACAGATAGCCGTAGCGTACAATTTTCACCGAGACATATAATGAATGGAAAATGTTAAGGGCAATCGAAATAAGACTTGGCATGAGGGTATGAAAACCTTAACTAGGAGATTCCTTCTTATAGGTTACATTCGGCTCCCTGGATGGGGACCACGAGTTCTTCGTAACCGGTGGCTAGAGACACTGAGTGATATGACTGTGTCGCAAACATTAGTACTCGTGATTCCACTTATTATCCCTGCAACCTTAGTGCATGTGAATTCTCTATTTTCTCTTTGACTGTGCTCTGGACATTCCACTCTTTTATTTCAACGGGTAGCCTCAAGACTGCAAACAAAACCGCCAGAAAAGGGTGCGTGGTTGATGGTTGTTAAAACTGAAACTGAAATTGGAACCTCAGTTAGTTCAGTTCCTCTGTCCTGGAACAATCATAAATCTGTTCAATAAAGAATGTGCCGTGCAAACCGGCCAAATGAAATGTTTATTTAAAAGAATGCATTGTCACAAAAGAATTCATCCATATTCGTATCAGATGGAAATTTATGCGACTCGGGTCCTGCTTTCGAAGTCGTCTTTCGGTTTCCTGTATATCTATTCGTTTTTCCAATACTCCAGGTATTCCAGGTTCCTACAAATCGGCCTGTATGTCTGTACCTTCTCTAGCCATTCAGCGAATAACATTGTTCTTCAGATTGCTCGCGTCGACTAGCGTTACCTCCTTGATTGAGGTTGCAGACGCTCTGCTGAGGTCCCTTAAAACAATCAATACGCTGGTTTAGCGATAGCGATTGCAAAAACACCCAACCCAGTCTCGGGTTGTCCCAAGGAAAACGAGTACCAAATAAATAACGCTAATGGCGAACGCAGATGGTGTAAAAATATTTATTTCGAAAAGATTCCCGGATGTTCTCTAAGTTTGACGGCTGAAACAGATTACTGTTTACAGCAGTGGAATCAGAAAGCGGTCCTTGATTAAACAGACTAACACACTGTAAAAGTCATGTCTAAGGGCAGATTAATTCCGTGTAAAACATAACGAAACCAAGATAAGCGTTATTGTAATTCAGCTTTGCCATATCTTATAGTACAGTTTCATGAATCGATAGCGATCCATGCAAGGACACTATTTGTTGGATACCAGTTGTTCTATTAGGTAATATCCAGATGGCAACCCGTTACGAAGTTGTTTATCGACAAAATAACTGTCTCCGTATGTTCGATGCTTGAATATTGTCTTTTCACCGCTTATCAGTGACCGTTCGAAACTGAAAATCTTGCATTACAGCTGGCGTAGAACAGTTTATGAGCTGTGACCGATATTTACATCCACATACGCGCTATTACGTTCGCGAAATGCGTATCCACGCCCTCAGTCAGCATTTGGATTCATACAGCAGCCTCAGTCTGGACAGCATGGCTGCATCATTTGGTGTAACTCCGGCATTCTTGGACGCAGAACTGTCCCGGTTTATTGCCAGTGGTCGTCTGGCTTGCAAGATGGACAAAGTCTCTGGTATTTTGGAAACTACTCGTCCCGACAACGTGAACTCCCATTATCAGGTGAGATCCCAATCGGTCCCTTTATAGATTGTGTCTACTGGCTGTTTGTAAGTAGTCAACTAAGAATCTCCAAATTAACTTGTAACTAACCCCGTTTCCCCACAACGCGCCCCGTCACTTCTGCTGGATATATACGAATTTTTCTCGTATCGTCTTCTAATTTTCCAAGGATAAGTTTATGGTAAACTAAGAAAGAAATCAAATTCTGCGTTGTCGTGGTCTTCATTTCCATTTGGATTAATTATAAGCCACTGTTTTACATCAACCGGTGAACGCAAATCACTTCAGCAGGTCAATATTCCAGCCGTAAAAGATTATAATTAAAACACATTGACAAATGGTTAAGGTTATTGTGTGATAATTAGTAGTAAAAGCAGATAGCATAGTCTCAGGAAATCACTGTGCAGTATTTGTAAAATGTAACCTAAGCCTCATGACTTGCGGCCATCAGGCAGTCCCACTGGGATGAAAGTAGTGGTAGCAGCGAAGCGGCATTGGTATTCATCAGTTTCAGGTTTCTGTTAGGGTTTGTTGTTTATTACATTCTACACGGAGTGAGTACCGTTGATAAATCATGGTAATAATGAATCTTGTAATTAAATGATCGCACAGAATCTCATTTATCTATAGCGGATGCATTCTACCACTTGATTTCATCGGGATTTTTCTTTATGGTAAACGGTACTATGTCGTGGCTCGTTTGTTTAACAAAATAGCACAACACTAATTAAAGAGACTATCCTAATCCATATGGTACCGTTATTTTTCTCATTTCTTCCAATCGAGTACTGTTCCTTGTTGCTGGATCTGCTCAAAAGTCCATTGGGTTGTTGTTGGGCTTTCAAATATTTTTGCTGTGCAGAACCAGTCCCACACAAGGATCCATTCCACGCCAACTGCGCACCTGATGCATGGTTTTTATGCTATTTTCATGCACTCCATTCTGGTGGTCGATCGGTTTTACTTGTGTCGCTCCATTATTCGCGCATGCATTACATGCATGCACCACTGTTTTCGTGTCCCTGTTTATGTGTACTCCCATGCGTCGACGTTCATCCCATCGCACTCGATTCATTTCCCTCTCTCTCCATCTCATTTTCACTCCCGATCCGTTTCCACTTCAGGCCATGATCAAACAGGGGGATATATTGCTCAATCGTGTGCAAAAACTCAGCCAAGTCATCAACATCTGATTGACTTTATGTGTTCGGTTCACGGTGTTGCACATGTGTGCTTGTATCAAAGTGCGTATGTTCGTGTGTGTGTGTGTGTGAACTTGTGTGCATGTGTGTCTGTGCTTCTATGCCCACCTCTTCTTGTGCATCTACTCGACGTCTGTTCAATCACTCCCTTCGAACGCGCACATCAAGATGATCAGGCGACACAACAACCCGAGTGTTTCCATCCCCTGCTGGGACCACCCGCCGAAACAACTCATTTCCACACCCCTTACCGTCCATCACCCGTACACTCACATTAACCTCACATGCACATGCTGCGTCTGTCAGGATTGTGAGGGTTGTGCACCATGTCCGGGTTGGGGTTTCTGATCCTCACGCGCCCCCCACTCGGGTTGTCTATTTGTTCCCTGTTGCATGGCTTGTTTTTTTTCTGGCCCACTCCGCCATACGCGTTGTGCACGTTCATGTGCGCGCGCGCGTTTGTGTGTGTTGAGACGATTGTGAATAGGCGAGTACGCAATTGGGAGTACAGTACCATGCATATGTTTGAGCACACTGCTTCGTTGTATACTCTATTTCTAGCCCGGCCAAATTTGAACTTTCGCTTCAGCAACACAACGTTATCAGTTTGATGGAATTCAACAAACTAGTATGTTCTGTTCATTCGTGTCTCATAGAAAGCTCACGAACGGATGGGCGAAGCTATCGTGAGTCATATCCGCGTACGGTGTCCGAATCCTAGTCATCACTGATCGATTGAAGCCATTGGAATGATAGCCGTTTAACGTGCTGTAGGTACTATGCACGTGCCCAAGTTCGTTGTGCATTGGTTAACTGAATGGCCCACTAAAATCTGTGTGCACCATGAATGATTACGGAGCAGCTTAAGAGCCAAGTGCAAGTAACATTGTAGCAATCATCATCATAGCTCTTATACAGCGATTTTCGTTCTCATTGTGGTAGTTCTATGTTGCTACAGAGATAGGCCAATATATACTTGGTAGAAACCAAGCATGTTTCAGCCGATCCGTGCTACATTTCTTGGAATTTGGTCTATTTCCATAGCAGTGTATCTCACGAGATTCCGTCCTTCCCAGCTTACCATTAACGTCGATTGCTCCTTCACCTGGGTTTCATTTTTTGAACCTTACTACTATAACCGACCTTTCCAGACTATGAACGGTTCACATTCATGTAAAAGACATGTAAACACATGATTACGAATGCGTTTTTTGGTCGGCAACTTAACACCCGACCGATTCAGGCGTGTGTTCTAAGCGTTCGCAGAGAGCTTTCTCGCCAAAGAAATATCACTGACTAATTAATCGAATAGAGTAGCTGTTCTGTTCACAATCGCTTAACTCACTGTATGTTCCAAATTCCTCATTGCTCGCGTCGTTTTTAGTCCGCTCGCTTATCGATATCCGAAGTGCAACGAGAGAATAATTTGAAACAAAGAAAACCTCTACAGAAATTGTGTTACGTTTACCCGTCTTTACTTAATTAGCTACGTGTGTTACCACTGTCAGACTAAATTATATTCTCATTTCACGAAACATGTTGCTTGGAACTAGCTCTCATTGTCTGAGACAGTGTCACATACTAGCATTCATTTGTCTTTTGATGTTTCCGACGCTTTATTTGAAATTCACTCCTGTGTAGAGACGAAGTTAGTATACCACAACAGCGCAACGATCCTGTTTTCGTTCTGAGTGGTCTGCTTTTTCTTATTGTATTTTCCAGTCAGGATAATTTCAGCATTTTTAAAAGTCTGATCTATTGGTGAACACATTTCTTATTTTTGAAATCAGTCTTGTTCTTCTACTACTGTCCCACGTTCTGTAGTCCTTGTGTGCTCTTCGCCGACGAACGTAGGCATTGCTTTCAGCCAACCTCCCGTAAAAGTGCATATCAAAGCCTAATTACGTGTCTTTAAGATTTTCGCTTTGATTCTACTGTTCTAAAAATATGGATTGCGAGTCTGTCTCAATACCCGTTTTTTATGGCAATACCGTTATTCTGGTAATCAACGGGCCTTGTGATTTGCGTGAATACATTGAGACATAAGCGTTCATATCGGTAATATAGGCAGAGTGTTGTTTCCTTCGGCGGTGAGTGTTCACAGTTCACTTTAAACACTGACGTTACGCATCTTGCGGGTAGTGTATCTAGCATTAATCGATTTAATTATTATCAATTAATATCCAAAAAATGACCCTAAGATTTTGCGATTGATTGAATTTCAATAGTACCCTACCTGATTCCCGTCCTATAATCCACTGAGTGTAATTATTTCTGACTAGAAGTATTCTAATAATAATGACAATTGCTTATTACTAATGATAATTAACGCCTTTTCTCTCAGCTTCGGACCGTGTTATGTTCCACCAAGTTTGTTATTGGGTAGGAGACGTCTGGTGACCTCTGTGATTTTCAAAACAAACTGAAGCCACACAACTCAATTTACAATTTGTCCGGTTGGTGTAGACAACTGAATGGCTTCACTCATCTATTGCGACCTNCCTTGAATTATACAAGATTGAAGAAAGCAAATCAACGGGTTGTTCTTTTCAGCGATAACATTTTCATTCAGTCGTGCTTCATTTGTTGTCTGTTTTGATCGACCACCAAAGTGATTTACGCGAAATCGATCTTCCTCTCTGACCAAGGTTAACAAGCGTCCAATCGCGCACGTCACTTTCTCCTTGGGGTTCTTTATAAATACTGAATTTTGTTTTCAGGTGCCATAGAATTTTACGGATTNTATCCATCAGTATTTTCCCCTGTGGATCGTGAACATCAAGGATGTAGATCGCATTGATCATGCTACAGCGTCCTTAGTAAGTGACATACCGTGTTTCCCCAGTGACCGCGGTAATCCAAACATGGACCGGGAACCTCAACATTAGGTTGGAACGTGAGACCTCTTCGATATATAGGAAGCCAACGCATCATCAGGCTTGTTGTGGAGCGCAGTATCTCTCACGAGGCGGTCACAACGTGTAACACAAGACAGTACCGGCGTGAGTCCGACACAAGGTAACAAAAATCACAAGTCGCACACGCAGCCATGGATTAACGAGAAATCGATTTGAATTCTTACGAACGTCGTGCACAATATCGCTAAGCGGGAGGACAACGCACAGATACACTATAGGTCCGATCACTAAGGTATACGTAAATCAGTGTCCACGGAAGTCGTCTAGCATCCAACGCACGATCACAGTACACAGAATGCACGCTACTATCACTATTAATGTACAGCTGCAGATTTGCGAACGCATCCGGCAAGCAACGATCGTGTATTTGCCACACGAAACCCCAACCTGAATCACAGAGTTCATTCGTCTGTTTGTATACTGTTCCGGTCCCTGAACCTTGAAAATTGTTGGAGAGGAGAAAATTTTCAGAACTGGCCAATCGACGGATGGAAACTGGAAATGGACGTAAGGACTTGAAATAGCGCGAAAAAGATTTAAATTGTACAAAATTACTCGAAAATGTGAGTCTTAGGTACAAATAACCTATTACCGAACATCATTTAATGATTACGGAATCTACATATGCTGTTTATCCAAGGTACGCGTATCCAATTCCGGCAGCCCGCATATCGTACAAAAATATTCTACTGTATATTGGGCAAGTATATCATTCTGGGATCCGTGGGGTCACAATCGCAACGACTAGTCCAGCATCCCGTGCTCTGATCATCTGGGTTATCCATTTTACAAGAATCGCCGTCACCTGGTGTCAAAGCCCGCTTGTTGTGTGGCGGTAATTGAATAACGCTCTACATACTGATGGAAACATCAAAGTTGACTTCTACAATACACGCCAGAATTTAGGTAATCAACCTGTCTGAGTGCCGAATTCTGTCGGTCGTAGCAGACGGAATCGTTTGTAGGCAG